CCAAAATACCAATGTCTGTGCGCATATGAGAGAGATGGGGTGGGTGGGTGGGGCGAAAGATCTGAGTTTGGGGCTTCCCCTCAACAGCTGCAGTAGGAACAAGGTTTCCTATATTTTCGAGAGCTCACCGATTTCTTCCCTCGTCCCTTACCATCACCACATGTAACAGCTGCTTCTCAGATATACCGAGGTTCACAAAGGGCTCATCCATGTTCCCTAAAGCACGCTGCTTTAATTCTTGCAACTACATATTAATATATAATTGTTAGCAAATAGAAGAACATGAAATACACTCAATATTTAGAATGAGATTGCTCAAGATATTATTCATTGTTGTGGAATCTGTTATTGTCAACCAAACAGGGTACAAATGAAGAGGATTAAAGTTCCAGTGGATAAAGAGGAAGATGTAGCTAAAGAAACCAGTTTCACTCGCATCAAATATTTGATTCAGGTGATATGAAAAGTTAAAGAGTGTACATGCATCAAATGATAAAGCAAGGCAGACTGTACGAAGTGTTAAACGAAATTCATCAGGATGACAACAAGAACAATGGACAGGTATGGCGTGAAAATTGACAGGAAAAAAGAAAGAAATCTGAAATTTTTGTTTTCTAAATGAACTTCAAAAAAATTGTCCTTCCAGAAAAAAACTATCTTGACAGACTGAAAAACAAAAAGCAAAAGAACTCTAATTCAAATTGCTGCTATTCACTGTCCTCGTATTTTTAGAAAACAACAAAGCCAGAATCTTTGCATAAAACTCAATAACAAAATCCATTATTACGGTGAAATGAGCTACAAAGACCTGTGCTTATTGAGCTGTGACAGAAGGGCGCTCTGCTTTGCAGTATCCTTAGGATTCACATCGTCCTCAGCAATCAAACGATCCAACAGCTTCTCCTGCCACCAAAATGGCCACCGACTGAACCAATCTAAATACAAAATTCTCTCAAACCCATTTCTCAACCTCGCAAAAACTCCCATAATAAACACCAGCATTGGAAATCTCTTCTTCGCATCCTCAGTTTGCTCACGGACACATTCTCGTGTCTCCGTGCGCGGCACGACCGTGTCTCCGTGGATCGTTTCTCCGTGATGTGTGGGCAGCCAATCGCTCCAGATTGCACATTAATATTACACTGCAGTATCTATATGGAAGTTGAAGACTACAGAAGAGAGATTGTCGATATCATTATTTTTGAAGCATAAAAATGGAATTTCTTATTTCATTCATTCTTCTGGTAGTCAAAAAACTAATATTTCACAAAGTAACTTTTTCCGTCTTATCTCCAACAAAAAACAAAAAAAAAAAAAAAAATTGCACAGAGGCACCTCTGTACGCACACGGAGGCACATCGTGTGCGCACGGAGGTGCCTTCTCGTGCCTCCGTGCGATTTTTTTTTTAATACAATGCTAACGATAACATTTTTTTCAACTATACAAATTTGATTAAATAACCCAACGAAATCTTCACAATCCATATAAAAAATGAATTATGTTATGTTGTTGGAGCCTTGCTAGAATCAAGTAGTAGACATCTTGTGTTCCATATTGAACAGGACCTGGAAAACTTCTGCCGTTGAGAGATGTTCTTGTTTCTTTTGTCAAAGACAAGAAAGACCCTAAATACCTTGTTAGAATTATGGAGTCCTCTCCTTTCTTTTTCTTTTTTCTTTCCTTTTTTTGTGTGGTGGAAGCCAATTAAAGCTAAGGCTAGGGCTTTTTAGCTTTCTTGCCTTAAGCTGATTGGAGAATTATGCAGTCAGGGTGCATGCCACAGTAATGTGTAGGTGATCTTGAGATAAATTTTTTTACCTAGAATGGCCTAAATTGAAGGTACATTTTGGAGAAGGCCTTCCATGTTAAGAAAATTTTTCGTGTTAGGTGAGAAGCTTGTGAACCTCTTTGTGAAGATGATATATCAAGGAATCTGCCCAACAAGATTAAAGGCCAGAATTGCAAAAAGTTCAGATCTGAAGCAAAAGGGATTGACAATAGAGAAAAAATGGGGTTGATATATTTTCTTTCCTTTTTGCTGAACAAAAATATGCAATGGTTAACAAAAATTCTCAAAAGCTGAATGGTTATCAACTCAAAAGTCACAATTTTTTGTAGATACCATAAACATTACCACCTTGAAAGTTTCCATGGCAATTTAAAAAAAAAAAAAAATTGATTATGCAATAAATGCCCACTATTAAATCTTCATTAGTCTTTCTTCTCTTATTGATAGCATTGTATAAAAAAAAAAAAAATCGCATGGAGGCACACGAAGGCACCTCCGTGCGCGCGCAGAGGCACACGAAGGCACCTCTGTGCGCACATGATGTGCCTCCGTGCAATTTTTTTTATTTTTTATTTTTATAAAACAATGCTACCAATAACATTGATTAAATAAGCCAACGAAATCTTCACAATCCATATATTTGCTATAATCACAAAAATTTCATTATAAATTCCAATCATCACTCAAACTTTAACCCAAGTTTATAAAATGAAAATTGAAAACTAAAGATGCAACTAAAACTCAAGCTGATTGAAGTCATATAACACAATAATGCATAGAAGATAGATGAACATTATCTAACAACTGATCTTACTGGAAGGCCAGACACTTAACTTTAGCTGCCCCTTGAACACAGGCTACGGATTCAACAGGAGGCTCAGGCATAACAACAGAAAGAGCAGTCCAAAAGAGCCCAGAGTAAATAGCAAATGCTGAAGTTAAATGTGCTGCAAGGCGATAAGGACTTACTTTTGGTTCAGCAAACTCAGATTCGAGTTCCTAAAAGAAGAAAAAGAAAACATAATAACATTAAAGAGCTCTTCATCGAATTCAGATTACCAGCAAGTAATATGTAAATACTTGTCACTTGTTACCTCTAGACCACTATTGATCATCCACCAGCCAATCAGTCCTTGCCCAGCACCAAGAGCAAATAGCCCACATAGCCTAAGTCCCAGTCGAGGGGTAATGTATCCTTTCCGAAGAAAGTATGAAAATGGTAGGGCAACCATTGTACCGAGTGCTCTTCCCCACGTACAATGGGGACACTCCATCCAAATTCCAATATATGAACTTGAATTCAGCAGGACTCATCCATTTATTTACACTGGAATGATCAAGAAATTAGATGAACTTCACCAATGCCCAGTGCAAGCAACTAATTTCATGATATGAATATATGATAAGACCACATCTAAATGCAACTATGGACACAGATTCCAATAGCGTTGCCTTAGTGAAGTAAATCTAGATAATTGCCTTACGAACCAAACCAAGTATTGACATAATAATAATAATAATAATAATAATAATAATAATAATAATAATAATAATAATAATAATTAAAAATAATAATAATAATAATAACCATAGCTTGATTACTCATTATGGTATATAAAAACATGGCCGATCAGGAAATATGCATGAAAAGTAATACAAAAAGTAGAAGATAAAGCATCTTATCGACTTAATGAGATTATTTATAATTGCAATCCATAAGAATCAAAATAAAAAGAATAATGCAACACAATAATCAGTATCATTGTTTCTTTACTTACATATTGAAGCTGTTAGCAAATCAAACTATCACACTCATCCGTGATTTTTTTTTTTTTAA